CTTTTTGAAATAAATTGATCATAAATGTTAGGATTTATTTCTTTTAATTCTATTCCATTGAACCATGCCAGATGATACATTCTTGATTACTACAGCTTTGCAGATAAATATTGAAATTGAAGTCTCTATTGTCAGGTGCACATATGTTCACAATTGTTGTCTTGATGAATAGATCCTTTTATCATCACAACTTTCTTTGTCTTTCTTTGTCTCTACTAACATTTTTTGTCTTAAAGTCCATTTTGTCTGATATTAGTATAGCTCTTCCAGCTCCCTTTTGTTAGTTTGAATGGTATATCATTTTTCATTCTTTTATTCAACTTGTTTGTGTCTTTGAATGTAAAGTGTGCCTCTTGTGGATAGCATCAAATTGGATCATTAAAAAAAAGTCCATTTTGCCACTCTTGACCTTTCAGGTGGAACGTTTAATCAATTTACATTTAATATATTATTGATAAAGTAGGACTTACACCTGCCACTTTGTTATTTATTTTCCATGTGTCCTACTTTTTGTTCCTCTAATCCTCCATTACTTCCTTCTTTCATGTAAAATAGATATTTTCTAATGTACCATTTTAATTCCCTTGTCATTTTTTGCACATATTTTTGAATTATACTTACTGGTTGCCTTGAGGATTACAGCTAACATCCTAACTTATAAAAATCTAGTTTGGATTAATACTAATTTAATTGCAATAGTTTAGAAAACTTTGCTCCCTAAATAGCTCCATCTCCTCACCTCTTTTGTGATATTGTTGTCATGCAAATTACATTTTTAATATATTGTATGCTCATTAACATAGATTTATAATGATTGCTTTACACAATTGTCTTTTAAGTAATACAGGAGAAAAAAGAGTTACGAAAATACACTTACACTGTCTTTTATATTTACCTATGTTGATACCTTTACTGGGGCTCTTTATATGAATTCCAGTTACTGTCTAATGTCTTTTCATTTTAGCCTGAAGGACCTCTCTGAATTATTTTTTTGGAGAGTAGGTTTGCTAGTGATGAATTCTCTCTAGTTTTATTTACCTGGGAATATCTTAATTTTCCCTACATTTCTGAAAGACAGTTTTGCTGGGTATAGAATTCTTGGTTGATAATCTTGTTATTTCAGCACTTTGAATCTATCTTCCCACTGACTTCTGACTCCTGTGGTTTCTGATGAGAACCCAGCAGTGTGGGGTCATTCCAGTCGTGTCTGGTGTGCAGTACAGAAATGTTTTTATATTGGTGGTGGTGGTTCACAATTCCTGGCCCTCTGGGGCCTATTTCTCAACTAGGCGGCAAAAGATTAATGATATTCGATGTTCTCCCTTGTCCCAGGGCCACACCCTCACAGAAGCTGTTGCCCCATGAAATGGATGAAGCAGATTTTTCAGATTCCTCTTTGACATAGGGCTGACTCCCCTCTCCCCTGCTTGCAAATAGGAAGCCTGGTTCTGTTTCCAGCCTTGTGTCTTAATTATGCCTTGGGACCCAGAGCCCAGCAGGTCTGTGGCTTTGTCAATACTCAGCAGTTTGTGTTTCAGGAACACGGTGGAGTTTATCTTGCTTTTGAGTCCAGCCAGATCCTCTGAATACCTTCACTGTACAGTTTATTGCTGTTCTGTGTTTTGGCAGAGAGCAGCACCTCAGAGCATAAATCATAACATTATCTGGATCTGAAGCCAAGTACTCTGCCCCTTTTCCTTATTTTAATCTGTATTTTAATTATTTAGCTCTATTTTACACACTGCCACTTTATATCCTATCTGAAGTAGGTGAAATACAAACATATTTTGTATTCCTTCAATTTCATGTTTTATCATTTCTCAAGTCAGAGCGCACCTTATAGTCAATGCACCTGGGAATTTAAGATGTATGGTGTCAACCACACCTGGAATTGCAGTGAACACTTCACTTACATGCACAGCATCCAGTAACCTGGGGAGGTAAAACCCAGGCACTGAGGGCAGAAAAACCGGTGGGGTGACTCACAGGAGTGGAATCCTGTGTGCGTTTGGAAAAAGTGGGAAGGATAGCAGGGTACAGGCCGACTTCTGCATTTGAAGTCATTGACCATTGACCTCAGTCAAGATTAAAGCAGCTCCTGTCCCCATGTGATGTGGGTGATCTCACAGAAGCAGTTTAAGAAAACACTGTCTCCTTTCTTTCTCTTCTTGCCTTCAGTCCTAGACGTTCTCAGCTGGTCACAAAAAGTGCACCTTTTGTCACACTGGGGTCCACACAGCTGTGACACAGCTAGACTATCCTTTCCAAGTGCTCACATCCTCATGTCCCAGTTCCCATTTTATAGAAGCAAAAAGTGTAAAGGCGTGAGTGTAGCGGAGCCTGCCCCAGGCCTGCCAGAGATGGGCAAGTGGCTGCCAGCGATTCAGCCTCCTTGTAGGCGGGGTCCTCAGAAGACTGGCGTGGCGGGCGTCTTTTCTCTCCAGCCATGCTCCAGTCTGGGACTGATCATTCAGAAGCAGCTCAGCAAGATCAAGCAGGAAGAGCAGCCAGACCCAGAGTCAAATAGCTCATATACTTTGGTCCAGTAATTTCACTCCTGGGTGATTAACCCAGAGAAGCTGGCAGAGGAATGGGCTGGGATTTACATTCAAGTGTGGTTTATAAAACTTCCACATGTTAAAAAAGATAATGAAACCTATCAAAAGGAGCATATTAAATAAACTGGGAACATGATTTCACTGGAACATAGGCAGTAACGGAAAACCATGCTTTTGAAATATCTTTAAAGGAAAATGCCCCAAATTCAGGGTGCATTCGAGGTTGCAAAACATAAGGTGCAATAATTAATATTTTGTAATAGGATATATCATAGCAAAAGTACTGGATGGAACTACAGAAATAGTACTATTTACTCTCTACAGGTGGAGGAACTCTGAGTGATGTAAGGTTTTTTTTGAGACTTCTTTCATATCAAAGTTCTTTGCAATGGAGAAATGCAAATCACAACTACAATGAGTTATCACCTCACACCAGTCAGAATGGCCATCATTCAGAAGTCCACAGACAATAAATGCTGGAGAGGGTGTGGAGGAAAGGGAGCCCTCCTGCACTGCTGGTGGGAATGCAGTTTGGTACAGCTGTTATGGAAATCTGTAGGGAGATTCCTCAAAAGACTAAAAATAGACTTACCATATGATCCAGAAATTCCACTCCTGGGCATACATCCAGAGAGAACCTTCATTCAAAAAGACACCTGCACCCAATGTTCATAGCAGCACTATTCACAATAGCCAAGACATAGAAACAACCTAAATGTCCATGGACCGATGACTGGATAAAGAAGTTGTGGTATATTTATACAATGAAATACTACTCAGCCATAAAAAAATAAAATAATGCTATTTGCAGCAACATGGATGGACCTGGAGATTGTCATTCTAAGTGAAAGAACCCAGATAGAGAAAGACAAATACCATATGATATCATTTATCTGTGGAATCTTTAAAAAAAAGACAAATGAACTTATTTGCAAAACAGAAACAGACTTTCAGGCATAGAGAACAAACTTGTGCTTATGGGGAGGGGAAGGTGGGAGGGGATAAATTGGGAGTTAGAGATTTGCAGATACTAATTGATATTATAGAATAGATAAACAATAAGTTTATGCTGTATAGTGCAGGGAATTATATTCGAATCTTGTTGTAACTTATGGTGAAAAAGAATATGAAACCGAATATATGTATGTTTGTATATGACTAAAGCATTGTTTTGTACATTAGAAATTGACACAGCATTATAAACTGACTACACTTCAATAAAAAATATATATACGAAAAAAGTTCTCTGCAATGAATACATACTACATTGAATTTGTATTGAATATGAAAAGCAAGCTTCATTAAAAAATAATTACAATATATACAAAGAGCTTCACTAGCGGTCTTAGGAAGAATTTAAAAGAAAGGAAGGTATCTATGTTAATAATAAAGCAAGAGTATATATATGTACGTTGATGTATAACTGGAAAATTGTGCTCTACACTGGAATTTGACACAACATTGTAAAATGACTATCACTCAATAAAAAAGTGTTTTAAAAATAAAGTAATAATAATAAAAAAGAGTAACC